AACACACCTGAGCACACGAGTCAACACACATCTGAGCACACAGTCAGCACACACCTGAGCACACAGTCACACACACCTGAGCACACATCAACACACACCTGACACACCTGAGCACACAAGTCAACACACCTGGCACACACACACCGAGCACACGAATCAACACACACCTGAGCACACAACACACACCCACTCAACACACACCTGAGCAAACACACACACCTGAGCAAACACAACCTGAGCACACAGTCAACACACACCTGAGCACACGAGTCAACACACACCTGAGCAGTCAAACCACCTGACACACAGTCAACACACACCTGAGCACACGATCACACACACAACACCTGAACACGGCACACACACTGACGAGCACACACACACCAACACCTGAGACACGAGTCACACACACCTGAACACACAGTCAATACACACCTGAGCACACGAGTCAACACACACCTGAGCACACGGTCAACACACACCTGAGCACACAGTCAACACACCTGACACGAGTCAAAACACCTGAGCACACGAGTCAACAACACTGAGCACACGAGTCAACACACACCTGAGCACACGAGTCAACACACACCTGAGCACACGAGTCAACACACACCTGAGCACACGGTCAACACACACGTCACAACACCTGAGCACACGAGTCAACACACACCTGAGCAACCAGTCAACACACACCTGAGCACACGAGTCAACACACACCTGAGCACAGTCAACACACACCTGAGCACACAGTCAACACACACCTGAGCACACGAGTCAACACACACCTGAGAACACGAGTCAACACACACCTGAGAACACGAGTCAACACACACCTGAGCACACGAGTCAACACACACCTGAGCACACGAGTCAACACACACCTGAGCACACGAGTCACACACACACCTGAGCACACGAGTCAACACACACCTGAGCAACGAGTCAACACACACCTGAGCACAGAGTCAACACACACCTGAGCACACGAGTCAACACACACACAGTACACCTGAGCACACGTCAACACACACCTGGCACGAGTCAATAACACCTGAGCACACGAGTCAATATACACCTGAGCACACAGTCAACACACACCTGAGCACACGCAAACACAGCACACACACCTGAGCACACGAGTCAACACCACCTGAGCACGAGTCAACACACACCTGAGCACGAGTCAACACACACCTGAGCACACAGTCAACACACACCTGAGCACACGAGTCAACACACACCTGAGCACAGTCAAACACCTGAACACCCACACACACCAGTCAACATACACCTGAGCACACGAGTCAACACACACCTGAGCACACGAGTCAACACACCTGAGCACACGAGTCAACACACACCTGAGCACACGAGTCAACACACACCTGAGCACACAGGTCAACACACACCTGAGCACACGAGTCAACACACCTGAGCACACAGCAACACCTGAGCACACGAGTCAACACACCTGAGCACACGAGTCAACACACACCTGAGCACGAGTCAATATACACCTGAGCACACGCGTCAACACACACCTGAGCAGTTATACACCTGAGCACACGCGTCAACACACACCTGAGGCACGAGTCAATATACACCTGAGCACACGAGTCAACACACACCTGAGCACAGGTCAACACACACCTGAGCACACGAGGTCAACACACACCTGAGCACACAGTCAACACACACCTGAGCACACGAGTCCAACACACACCTGAGCACACAGTCAACACACACCTGAGCACACGAGTCAACACACCTGAGCACACAAGTCAACACACACCTGAGCACGCAACCCAAGCACGTCAACACACACCTGAGCACAGAGTCAACACACACCTGAGCACACGAGTCAACACACCTGAGCACACGAGTCAACACACACCTGAGCACACGAGTCAACACACCTGAGCACACGAGTCAACACACACCTGAGCACACAGTCAACACACACCTGAGCACACAGTCAACACACACCTGAGCACACGAGTCACACACCTGAGCACGAGTCAACATACACCTGAGCACACGCGTCAACACACACCTGAGCACAGGTCAATATACACCTGAGCACGCGTCAACACACACCTGAGGAGTCAACACACACCTGAGCACACGAGTCAACACACACCTGAGCACACGAGTCAACACACACCTGAGCACACGAGTCAACACACACCTGAGCACGAACACACACCTGAGCACACGAGTCAACACACACCTGAGACGAGAGTCAACACACACCTGAGCACACGAGTCAACACACACCTGAGCACGAGTCAATATACACCTGAGCCACGACAACACACACCTGAGCACGAGTCAACACACACCTGAGCACACGAGTCAACACACAGGTTAATAAACGAGAACAACAGTGACATTATAATTTCCTGTTAGAAGGAAATAGACTGAATACTGAGTGGGGCGAGGCTGGTCACGTCTCGCTATTACTACACAATGTTATATTTACTTTCTTTTTTAACGTGGATGTATGAGAGATATTTGTAGCTTCTAGTGGAGGAACGTATATATACACTGTTATGTTTTGTTGTATTTGTTTTCATTATTCAAAAACTAAGGCGGATTTGCTTAGAAATACAACAGCGTGTTGTTGTTGTTGTAGGTTATAACACTACCATTAAACATCCAGCTACAATCACATTTAGTAAACTATATATATATATATATATATATATATATATATGTGTGTGTGTGATTTTTTTTCTTGTTTCGTTTTTGAGGATTAGTCTAAGAAATATATTATAATAATAATAATAATAATAATAATAATAATAATAATAATAATAATAATAATAATAATAATAATAATAATAATAATAAATCAAAATTAATAAATAATCAGAAAATATTAAATAAAATAAATAATATAATATATAATAAAAGACCATAAAAAAGATCAGTAGATAGAAATGATATATGTATATTGTGATTTCATATGAAATGAAATCCGTCATCAACCTGGGACTTGGTCACACTATTTTCGTGATACTCCATATGGCATGAGGTCTACCATTAGACAACACATTGTAAGCAGTATCTTCCCAGGCAGTAATACCTCCCTGTTTTGATAGCTACCCTATCCCTACTATTGAAGAAATTGTATTAGTTGTGAAATAGAGTTAAAGATCCTTTGTAACTAATATATGAGTAGTGATCAACCTCAAAATCTATCCATTAGTCCCTTTGTGAATAATTAGGAGGCAAGAATTCAAGTCTGGAGGCGTTATTGAGAAAGAAACCAACCCGCTCTTAGCACTGAGATTAGAGAAAAAAAAGCTGTAAAAATTATTCTTCTTCCTCTTAGAGGCTGGCAGGACGGGACGCTTCGTCTCCGTAAAGACAAATCTTATAGTCCTAGCTACAGTGTGAATGTCAGCCCTGAGTTGGGCAGTGAGTTCTTTTTGATTAAAATTCATTATGATGTTCATTATTACCTGGAAGATTTGTTTTTTGATTATGTCTTTCTGATGAGGTGTGGATTTATACAGACCAATTTCATGCGAACAAGTCAGATGTTGCTCATTGCATTAGTACTGATCATTTAGTGTGGTTAAAAGACATAATTAATTGGGTATGTAAAAATTGCATATTTTGGTTAAATAATATTTTGTTTTGTATCTTGGGGAGGAAGTGATCATCTCTGTTCGTTTATCAATTAAGTGCTTCTACTCTCCTGCAATCAATGAGTGTTTTAGGAAGGTGAAAAAAATTAAAGAAAATTACTGCGTTGTGTCAGTTTTATAACTGGCACATCTTGCTTCTACTCTTGTTGCTGGGGGGACTTTAATCGTTAACTTGAATCTATTAAAAATTAACTTCCAGGATCTTGCTCTTGGTTAATTTGTCAAACAATTCTCTGGCATCGCTTATGCCATCAGCCACCATGCACTACACACTGAAATAATAACATCTTTACGTAAGAGGAGGTAGGACAGATGAAATATAATATAATCAGGTGGCGCTTGGCTTGTGATGTGAGTTGGGCGTGAGTGATGAACAAGGGTGGTGGTGGTGGTGACAGGGGCGGCCCGCTCAGGTGGTGGTAAAGACTACCATCTGGAGTTAGTTCCTTACAAGAGCCACAGGGGGAGTTGATTTTGCCTTGGCCACCTACTTTATTGTACCACCCATCCTGTGGTGAAGTAGCGCAAAAGAGGGAATTCTGAAGTGGGGAGTTCACAACAGGTCATAATAGATTAACCCAATGGTCCAAGGATATTATGGCATTGAATGGTACGTGTTTCAATTGATATTTGTTGGTTCTTATACATAAAGGCCAACTTATTCTGTAACTGCGTGATACAGGTGTGTGAGCAGTATCTAGCTCACACTTTGTTATTGATGCTTGTGTGAAGTATTTAAACTCATTGTGTATTTGGATCACTAGATACTAAGTAGAAAAATGGATACAATCTTAATATGTCATTTATCTTGCCGTGAAGATGAAATGTTGTGTCATTCACACGGTGTGCTTGGACCTGTACCCTAAAGTTCAATCTTCACAATCAAACGTAAATGTTCGAGTGTGTGTGTATGTCTGTACACTTTACCATTTTAATCTTATTTATCTACCTGGGAACATACTGCCAAAGGTACTTATATCCTAACCTTAATCTGGCAGTTTACAACATCTTGTAATCTAGTAGTCATATTACTTGCTCCATATACAGTACATGTTTCATGATACATCTCATCATAGTAAACTATGGATCTGACTGGTGCCACATTGATCTACTTGCGTCAAATTCACCAATAAGTTCACCTAGTACGGATTTAAGGGTTCTTTTTGTAGACTAAATTGTAATCAACTTAATCTTCATTAGACCTTGGAGTTTGACAAAGACATCGACTCGGTCATGTTTTATAGGGCCTATGTGAGAGGATCCTAGCAGTTGTGAGAAAAACTGAGGGTGTGGGAGAGCACAGGGGTGTGGGAGAAAGCACAGGGGGTGTGGGAGAAGCACAGGGGCGGCGTGGGAAGGCAGGGCGTCGGGAGGCACGGGGCGTGGGAGGCACCAGGCAGTGGGGAGGCTTCGCAGGGGTGTGGGGAATATAGGGCTGTAGGAGGCGCGGGGCGTGGGAGAGGCCTGGGGCGTGGGAGGCGCGTGGGCGTGGGAGGCGCGGGGCTGGGAGAGCGCGGGGTGCCGGGAAGGCCTGCGGTGTGGGAGAGCACGAAGGGCGTGGGAGGCGCGAAGGGCTGTGGGAGGCGGGGGCGTGGGGCGCAGAGGCGTGGGGAAGGCGCGTGGAGAGGCGCGGGGGGCGTGGGAGGCGCGTGGGCGTGGGAGGCGCGGGGGCGTGGGGAAGAACGCAGGGGCGTGGGGAGGCGCGTGGGCGTGGGGGAGGGCGCGAGGCGTGGGAAGGCGCAGGGGCCGTGGGCGCGTGGGCGTGCAGGAGGCGCGGGCGTCCGGGAGGCGCGCGGGGGGTGTGGAGAGGGCGCAGGGGGGTGGGGAGGGCGCGGGGGGTGTGGGAGGCGCGGGGGCGTGGGAGGCGCGGGGGCGTGGGAGGCACGAGGCGTGGGAGGCCCGCAGGGGGAGAGCCTTGTCAGAGCGTGGGCTGGGGGGGGCGTGGGGAGGGCGATAGATGGGAGGGCGCGGGGGTTGGGGGCGGGGGGACGTGGGCATGGGGGGTTGGAGGGCGCGGGGTGTGGGAGGCGCGGGGGCGTGGGGCGCGTGGGCGTGGGGAGGGCCCGCCAGAGATAGAGGAAACCTGAGGTGTAAAGGCATGAGGTGTGGGAGAAATATGAGGGTGTGGAGGGGGCGTGGGGAAGCTGTGAGGGGTGTGGGGTACAGGGGGGCGTGGGGAGAGCATCAAGGACTCCTGTGTCTGCCGTTATTGTACGGTAAAACAGCTCACGTGTTCTTACAATGCTTATCCTTTCTACTGTCTCCTCACCAACACAGGAAGTAATACTGTAATTATATCAAACGCCCATCTGAAGACAACCAACAATGGACAAGGGCATCTGGCCTCAATCCTCAGTACTAAAGTGTCGTCCCCTCCCACAATAACTCTGAGAACTCGTTAATACTCCTCCACCATAGTAGAGTTGGCGACCTCCACACTCCCCAGATTGAAACTACCTCCCCACCCCAAGACATGTGCTGCTCCCTACTTACGTTATCCTAACCTTTAGGGTCTCTGCAGAAACCCTGGATACATGTCACCTCCAAGACCATTCTTTCCTCTCATCTTCTTATCCACATTATTAAACGATATGTTTCTTTTAAAACAAGCTCATTATGTGCTTAGGGAGACAGTCTCTAACCACTTACATGGGTTCTCCTCTGTACTGAATAAAATCGTCTCGCGTTGGCCAAATAAAATATTAAAAGTAGCGTCCCCGTAGTGAAGGGGTAAGAGGAATATATCTACATCTATCAATTATTTTATTCAATATATTTGATGAAACATTGTTATTATTGTTTTAAAAATAAAATGTATTGCTGTCGGCAGGCTGAAGGGCTATAAAACTCAGGAAGATTATTTCTGCTTAGGCAGTTGGGGGGACAATAGGGTCAAAATTAGCTGTCCTCCGTCTGGCCTCCGTGTTTTTCACATTTTACAGATCCATTATAAAATTAAAGGAATTTCTTTGTCCCACGCTGTTATTGAAGCATAAAAATAACTTTCATAATCAAAATATTGACTTAATCTGATGAAATGTTATTTGCTTCTTATTTCGGTATTTTCACTGTTTATCAAGTATGAATGGGTATTGGTTATTATTATGACGGACGTGATTGGTGGATAGGTTGCTATAGGTCATATGGGCTGGCCGTTTTGGAATCACAAATTCCACGTGGGGCATCAAGACACATTCCACCAACTATACAAAACTTACCAGGAAGGTAGGTCAGTGACTTCCAGCATAAGAAACTCGTGATGTCCCAGGAGGTTAGTGTCTGCCTTCCTCACGTATACTAATCTATTTGGTAGCCGAACATCATATTAGCGTTACGCCAAGGATAAATACATCATTTACATTTCTTATATTCGGCTTCTATACGGACAAAATTGCTCCCTTATATCAATGTATCTATCATCCGGGTCTCATAATGTTTCACAGTGTGCAGACGAAGACTTTTTTGATATATTTAACAGAATATAAGAATGGAAACTGGTTGAGTTCTCCTTTCACAGTAAGTTAATTATGAAGGGTTGTGAGAACCACCCCAAACAATTCGCTGTATGACTTCGTCTCTTGTGTTGGACCAAAAGAGTTCGCCACTCAGGAAGGTTACGGCGTTCCGTCAAGTTTCTTCAATCCCATGTCATGGATCGTCATATCAACGTCACCTGAGAGACAAGACCATTGTGGCCTATCTTAGAGTTCTAGACAACTTGGCGGTGGTGTTTGTTAAGTGATGGCGATCTGTAATGGTTGGGCTTAGAATCAAGATGACAAATTCCACCTATATTAATTAAACGGTCTCCGGATTACGGAAGAATAATGACTTTAATATTCTTGAATCAAGAAAAAATATACTTGTTTGTACATCATCATATTATTACCTCCCTCCTCTCACCCACCCACACTGCACTCCTCAATAGCTATTTAAAATGTATTTTATTCTGCTGATCCCTTTAATCTTCTAGGTAGTGAAAGAGTATTGATCATGGTGTTGCCAGGCTTTACTTACTGTCATTTTTATCACCAATTGGTCAGCCTCTTTTATATTCACCCCAAATTCTCCTGAGAGGTATCGTTTTGGTGGCCAGACGCCTGACTTACTATCTATCAGCAAGGTATTACATATATATAGAAGCAACAAAGGTGATAGTTGCGCTGTCTCACATGCGTCATCTTTATATAAAAATAAGTCGTTGACTTCGAGAAAGATCGTAGAGGAAAGACTTGCTCCTTCAGCACTGTGTTATGGTACAGTCCCGGGGCAGAGTTCTGTCAGTCCTCCATTCTCCAGACTCTAGACGCCCTGTAGATCCAGACACACACAAATTCATGAAACTCAAGGTTCATGTATGTGGGGCGGAGGATTAACTTGGGCCTGTTTCTCACGTGACTATAAGATGGACACACTCAAAGTATCTATAGAGCAACATTTGGTCGCCAGCAGTTACCTCTCGCAACTAGTTACATTATAACAGTGAGTCCAGACTGACATTTGATCTAACCTTTAGTGTGTTATCACTTCACCTCACAATAATCCTTACTCATAGACTGAGTTATATTCAATTATGTCTGCTGTAATACAGGACCCAATTTTAAAAAAGTCACGATTACTTTATATTAACTTTACAGCTATTGAACTTAACGACATTATGCGTCAAAATATATGAGACTTGAAAAATAAAAATAATACTGAAAATGGATTAACATAATTAAAGCTATTGCTGTTTTTGGTATATATATATATATAATTTCTTTATATACGAGTAGAAGTCCTTTGGTGAGGAGTTGCCACTATCCTCATTTAAATTCCTAACCTGGGAGGAACCTGTACAGAGACCATAAATGGTTATCGGGCGTTCCTGTGGATCAGCGTCACCTAAATTCTAACCACGTTGTCTGCCGTGCTTGTGGTCCAGCGGGGGAACTGCCAAGTACTGTCACAACTATTATCACCATACAATAAGCACCACACAATGAGCACCACAATATTATCACCACACTATGAGCACCACACTATTGTCGCCACACAATGAGCACCACACTATTATCACCACACAATGAGCACAATACAATGAGCACCACCCAATATTATCACCACACAATGAGCACGACACTATTATCACCACACAATGAGCACCATACAATGAGCACCACCCAATATTATCACCACACAATGAGCACCACACTATTATCACCACACAATGAGAACTACACTATTATCACCATACAATGAGCACCACACTATTATCACCACGCAATGAGCACCATACTATGAGCACCACACAATGAGCACCACACTATTATTACCACACAATAAGTACCACACTTATCGCCACACAATGAGCACCACACAATGAGCACCACACTATGAGCACTACACTACTGTCGCCACACAATGGGCACACAGAGCACCACACTATTATCACCACACAATGGGCACCATACAATGAGCACCACCCAATATTATCTATTATCACCACGCAATGAGCACCATACTATGAGCACCACACAATGAGCACCACACTATTATTACCACGCAATGAGCACCACACTTATCGCCACACTATGAGCACCAACTATTATCACCACACAATAAGCACTACACTATGAGCACCACACAATGAGCACCAACTATTATCACCACACAATAAGCACTACACTATGAGCACTACACTATGAGCACCACACAATGAGCACCACACTATTGTCGCCACACAATGAGCACCACACTATTGTCGCCACACAATGAGCACCATACAATGGGCACCACAATATTATCACCACACAATGAGCACGACACTATTATCACCACAATGGGCACGACACTATTATCACCACACAATGAGCACCATACAATGAACACCACCCAATATTATCACCACAATGAGCACCCTATTATCACCACACAATGAGAACTACACTATTATCACCATACAATGAGCACCACACTATTATCACCACGCAATGAGCACCATACTATGAGCACCACACAATGGGCACCACACTATTATTACCACACAATAAGTACCACACTTATCGCCACACAATGAGCACCACACAATGAGCACCACACTATGGCACTACACTATGTCCATACACAATGAGGCACCACACAATGAGCACCACACTATCACCACACAATGAGCACCATACAATGAGCACCACCCAATATTATCACCACACAATGAGCACGACACTATTATCACCACACAATGAGCACCATACAGGCACCACCCAATATTATCACCACACAGACACCACACTATTATCACCACAGAATAGAACTACACTATTATCACCATACAATGAGCACCACACTATTATCACCACGCAATGGGCACCACACTATAGAGCACCAGAGCACCAACTATTATCACCATACAATAAGCACCACACAATGAGCACCACACTATTGTCGCCACACAATGAGCACCACACTATTATCACCACACTGAGCACCATACAATGAGCACCACCCAATATTATCACCACAATGAGGCACCACACTATTATCACCACAATGAGCACCATACAATGAGCACCACCCAATATTATCACCACACAATGAGCACCACACTATAATCACCACACAATGAGCACCATACTGAACCACCCAATATTATCACCACATGAGCACCACCCAATATTATCACCACACAATGGGCACCACAAAATATTATAACCACACAATGAGCACACACAATATTATCACCACACAATGAGCACCACACAATATATCACCACACAACGACCACCAAACAATATTATCACAAATTATCACCACACAATGAGCACCACACTATTAACACCATATGAACGTCACAATATTATCACCACACAATGAGCACCACACAATATCACCACACAATATTATCACCACACAATGAGCATCCCACAATATTATCACCACATAATGAGCACCACACAATATTATCACACATGAGCACCACACAATATTATCACCACACAATGAGACCATATGAACGTCAATATTATCACCACACAATTAGCACCACACAATATTATCACCACAAATTATCATCACAAAATTATCACCCCACAATGAGCACCACACATTATCACCACACAATGAGCACCACACAATATCACCACACAATGAGCACCACACAAATATCACCACAATGAGCACCACACAATATTATCACCACACAATGAGCACCACACAATATTATCACCACACAATATTATCACCACATAATGAGCACTACATAATATTATCACCACATAATGAGCATCCCACAATATTATCACCACACAATGAGCACCACACAATATTATCACCACACAAGAGCACACAATATTATCACCGCACAATGAGCACCACAATATTATCAACAATGAGCACCAACACATATTCACACACTATCACCACACAATGAGCACCACACAATATTATCACCACACAATGAGCACCACACAATTATCACCACACAATGAGCACCACACAATATTATCACCACACAATGAGCACCACACAATATTATCACCAACAATAGAGCACCATATGAACGTCACAATATTATC